GTGTGTGTGTGTGTGTGTGTGTGTGTGTGTGTGTGTGTGTGTGTGTGTGTGTGTGTGTGTGTGTGTGTGTGTGTGGAGAGAGACAGACAGATTGCTGTGCAGAGAGCTGGGGAGGGAGACAGGCTGATGTCAGGGTTTCCCCCTCAGCCTGCCTCAGGACTGGTTGCTTCCTGCCACTGCCTGAACTTACAAGACAGCATGCTGACACATTCTCTGTCCCCCAAAACACACTGTCTCTCCCCATACACAGACACACTCCCTGTCATACACTCTGCCCCACCCCACCTCCCACACTTCAGTTGAAAAGCAGCTGGCAATGGAACAATGGGATTGAGAAACCTGTATCATGTGACGCTGTGCCTTCTTCATGAGGCATTGCAAACCCTTCCCAAAGCACCCTGCGGCCAGTTGCACAGTGGGATAGCTACCACAATGCGCTGCTCTCTTTGCCGTTGCAAGAGCTTCTAATGTAGATGCGCTCCACAGTCACAAGGAGCACAGTGTGGACACGCAACAGCAGTTTAATTCCATTGCTTTAATAAAAGTGGTATAACTTGTGTGCAGAAACTTGCCAGTGTAGACATACCCTTAGACTCTCGAGGGAGTTTGGTCAGTTTGGAACTGCAATGAGTTAATGCTTACCTGATTCTGCAGGTGGGGTGGCAAATCCAAGAGGGAAGAAAGGACATGATAAAAGGGAGAGACATTTACCATGCTCTCTCTCTGTCTTCCACCTACATCTTCAAACACCACACTAAGCGACCGAAGCACTGATCAAAGGGGAGAGCCTAGCTGAAGAGCACCCAGTCGGCCTGTGGTGAGAAGCACCTACGTTTGTAAGGGCATTGAAAGTGTTAAGATCAGCTTAGAATGTGTTTTGCTTTTATTTCATTTGACCAAATCTGACTTGTTATGGTTTGACTTATAATCACTTAAAATCTATCTTTTGTAGTTAATAAATCTGTTTGTTTATTCTACCTGAAGCAGTGTGTTTGGTTTGAAGCATGTCAGAGGCTCTCCTTGGGATAACAAGCCTGATACATATCAATTTCTTTGTTAAATTGACAAACTCATATAAGCTTGCAGCATCCAGTGGGCATTACTGGACACTGCAAGACAGAGGTTCCTAGGGTTGTGTCTGGAACTGGAGATATTGGCTCCGACGAGGGGATTAGCGATAAAATCAGCCTTAGCGGGTCGGAATTGGGGTAGTGTGGATAATTCGACGTTATTGGCCTCCGGGAGCTATCCCACAGTGCTTCACTGTGACCGCTCTGGACAGCACTCTCAACTCAGATGCACTGACCAGGTAGACAGGAAAAGCCCCGCGAACGTTTGAATTTAATTTCCTGTTTGCCCAACGTGGAGAGCACAGGTGACCACGCAGAGCTCATCAGCACAGGTAACCATGATGGAGTCCCAGGATCGCAAAAG